AGGAATATCATATGCACGACGAGCGATATACCATTTCGTGGTGGGATCCGCACAACTAGTTAAGACGGAGCATCTAAGTTTTCTGAGTGTGGTGTGTGTGTGTGTGTGTGTGTGTGTGTGTGTGTGTGTGTGTGTGTGTGTGTGTGTGTGTGTGTGTGTGTGTGTGTGTGTGTGTGTGTGTGTGTGTGTGTGTGTGTGTGTGTTTCATATTCCATGTACAAGAATTGCAAGAATTGCTATCACTTTATGTGCTAATGAATGATATGTTTTCCTCATTCTAGATTTTCACCTTACAAGTTGCAACGAAAATCATTCCGTGGACCTCAGAGAAAATTGTTTAAATAAAAGTAGTGAACTGTTCTGGCTTGAGATGCGAAGTAAAGCACTGCTCGGATAATGAAGGTCTCTTTGCTGATACTTTCGTTCAAATTGTTACGACAACAAGATGTTTATTTACAATTAATTATCTGCCAAGATGGGATCGACCACACACGCCATATAACAAAATTGCGCCACTTCGGTTCTCCAGATCAGATGCGCCATTTCAATAGTAAGGATTAAGGGCTCAATTTTAAAACTCATGCGTTCGGATGGTGAAGTCCGCGAATGACATGTCCTCAATGTCCGTCCCATCAATCACTTAACAGCAGCAACATCGCGATCAGTTGTATTCAGAAGATTTCTGCAGATGTTAGTCTGGAGCGACCCATATTTTTATCCTTTCAGCGCCTAGTTGGAAGAACAATTTCCATTTTTTTTGATCTTCTAATTTTTTAACATCCAGAAAAGCTTTCTGAAGGCAAATGATCTGTGAGCCAGTTTGTTTGGTAGCCGACTGATAAAATTATTGAGATCTTCTTCTATTTAGCTGCTCCGAGGTGTTATTGATATTATTTATTGAATATCAGCGAAGCATATAACAATACAGTTAATAATGCAGCATGAATATTATAACAGTCGAGGTGGCTTACATTTCGGCAAGGTTCGCCATCTTCAGGGCCTGGAAAGGTCAAACTGATTCGCAAATCATTGAATCAAAGGCCTTCATAACTCCAGCAGAAAACGTAAGAAATAAATTTTTTTGTTTTTTTGTTTTTTTGGGTTGCATAGGAAAACTTCATTTCAAAAACACTCATCGCATAGATGTTTTAGTTCTTTCAATTAATCATTGAAGACCTGCCACTTGGAGTCTGTGCTTGAGTGAGACTGTACTTGGCTCAGGTCGGGAATATCAGCCTGAGGTATGGTGCGGGGTCACGCGTTATTACGAGGCATTCCTCTTTGCGGTTCATTTTTGGGCCTTTGCTATGTATCCAGAAGGCTTCCAAAGTTCAAAATCTGCTCCTGCTCCTTATGCCTGCCTAGTGGGGTTTTTGGGTCGGAGTTACGTTTTCCAGCTAAGTGCTCGTTCATGCGGATGCAGAGTGGTCTACTTGTTTTGCCAATATATTCATCCCCGCATGCCTCGCAAGAGATTAGGTAAATTGTACTCGACCTCATACAGTCACCGTCTCTGCTGTTTGGGCAAACTTTACAGTCGTTGTTTCGCAAAGGCGATCATACAGTCGATTGCGGACTAATTGGCGTTTTAGTGTTCTTGGTCGTATCTCGACCACTGCTACCGAACTATCTAAACGTGCTCTTCTTGAGCAGCGTTTAATGGCTGCACTTACTTCGTTGGAAATGAAAGGCAGGATGAATGGAACTTTATCCTCGCTACCTTTAGTATAGGGGCGCCGAATTTCCTCTAATTCTAACCTGAAAAGCTCCTATCGTGTTGTAGCCATTAGATATGGCTATTTTTCGCGCCAAAACTCAGGGACTCTACCTTATTTTCTTTTCCTGTGCACACATTAGCAGCTGTTCGAAACATGTTTTCTATAGGTGCGCATTTCGTGTGCGAGGGATGAGCAGATAGGTAGTGAGCCAGGATGTTTTTTGTTGCTTGGTTTGCAATACCATTTTGTGTTGTAGGAGTTTTTGGAGAGGTTAATTTGAACATTCAAAAATGGAAGCCAATTTGCCTTAGGTTTCTCACGGGTGAACGTTATGTACTCTGACTGACTATTTAACAACTCAAAAACATTTGTCCATCTCCTCTTGCGCTGAGCAGACGACAAACAATCATCTATATACCTATAGTAGAGTAACAGTCGGAGATCGATTATTGGGGCCTCTACTTTAAATACAAAAGCGATAGCAAGGGTCGGAGCTAGTCGTTGTCCCATTGCCAGCCCTCTGATCTGCGCAAATTAATTCTCAGACCATCTAGAGAATGAGCAGCTTAGGCACTCTTTTGAGAGAGCCATGACCTGCCGAATGAAAAGCCATGCATGTTCGTAGTTCTTCCGTGCTCCGTTAGAAGCTCGCATATGGCTTGCATCGCTGACTCATTTGACACGTTTGTATAAAGAGTGGTTACGTCGAAAGATCACATTACGTACGCGTTACGTAGACGATTATCAACTGTATTGTTATATGCTTCGCTAATATTCTATAAATAATATCAATAACATTCGGAGCGGCTAAACAGAAGAAGATACTCATTTATTCAAACTATGCCGAGGTTAATAGATAGTCGGTCCTAGGATAAATTTATCGTTAAGCTGAACATGAACTTAGCAAGCAGGCGAATAAAAAAAAATAAATCAAAAAATAAATAAATAAATAAAAAAAATATATAATATATAAAATATAAAATATAATATAAAAAATATAAAAAATAAATCAAGTAGTTTGCCCTAACGGTACAGGCTATAAAGGCGTTTTGGGAACGGGCTTGATATGAAATTTGGGGGAATATACAGCCACCAAAGGATATCATGAGATCGTTCTCAACCATTATAGATCCCCATCCAAGGGAACATGTCAAAACCCATCTACAAACATCGAAGTGATCGAACGTGTAACCAACGAGAGTTCTAGCGCCGCCCGCGTCATAGAGTCCATCTACGTTAACTCTTTTTATACTACATGTCTAATGACTCTCGACAATACAAGCCATCCTCGAAGTCCTTTTACGAAATCAATGAGTAATATGAGTAATAAAGATCGACGATTTAGCAGGTTATAGGTTAATCAGAAGAATGCCTGAACTGATTAATCTTTAGATGATCCGGGAAAAATTTCGCACAAATGAGAGGGTTGGCATAGAACAACGGCTGGCTCAAGCTCTACTACTTTCCTTGTGTCTAAAATAGAGAGCCCAGTGATCGATCTTTGGCATTACTGTAGATATATGTATGATTGTTTTGTCTTTTGCTACACAATAGGAAATGGACATTTTGAGATGTTGAGCAAAATTTCAAAATATTTCAAATTTACAAGAAAAAAAAAAACCAAATATTCGATTGAACCTATCCGAAACGGCTACATCGCCAAGTTTTACCGAAGGGCAAACATCATAAACAAACTGGTTCATTACTACTCTATCCTCTCATGCAGGGGCACCTTTAAAAAAAACGTGGTCGAACAGCATCAATGTGTGCACAAGAATGCAACTGAAGGTAGAAACTCTAAGAATGGCACGACAAAGAGCCACTACCAAAGGCTACAAAAGCTAGGGTATATACCTCAATTTCAACAAGAATAAATAACCTTTTATGCTGTCTTTCATTTCGAATAAAATCTTAACTATGAAGCGTTGCCCTAAAAGAGTAGGCTCAGAGTGGTAGCAATGACAGAAATATCACTTGATTGAAGAATAGCTAATTCGTGATCACTTCTATGATCGTTATGGATTATGCAAAACTGCATAATATTCCAGCGGCAGAGACTGTGTTTACATGAATTTAGGTGCGATTTACTTAACGTGCAGTGAAAAACACATTGACAAAGCGTGTAGACTTCTGCATGGAAGATCACAAAATGTAGTCGACACTTTTTATTCTAAATCAAATACTCCACTAAGAGCTCACTGGTCACAGATTCACAGAAGCTTTCGAAGTACAATTCGCCATTCTTGAACGAAAACTGTAAAACTTCAGAGGAAAGATTCTCGCCGAATTCTGCAGAAATTTTTGGAAAAAAAAAATTCTAAAAATTAACGGCAAGCAGGCAGAAATGGCTCATTGTCACTTATGATCTCACAGAATGTATGGACTAAAAGTCTGATGGAGAACGGTGTACTGACAGTTCAAAGTGAACTTTGCACGGTTGGTCGCCACATGATATATTCAGTGGGAGACTCAAACAGTGAAGTGAGTGCCTAAAGTTGCTTTGTTATCACCGCCTTATCGAATCTATCTTTGTGATTTTTCTGTTGGGGTTATGGAGATGTGTAACTGACTGGTCACAGTCACCTTCACCTCTCCACGCTCTGAACAAAGTGAAACCACCGAAATGCTGCTTTGAAACGAAGTGTATATCGAAAATCTCACGTAGTGCTCAGCAAGAAAAACTGCGGTTCAATACATTTTTGATGACCGATGGCATTCAGTTTAGGGGACGAGAACTACATGCTAGATGATTCACTGTCGTCTTCAATAAAGTTCTGCGTCTACTCCGATAAAACTCAGTTTGCTAGCCGACTACTCCAGCACTCCTGCAATAGTTTGGAAAGCTACCGTTCTTCCAAAATCGATGTATATAAGACTGTGCAGCGTGGACAAGAAATGAAAAGTTGTTTGTGATTCATATAGTTTTAGCTCATATGTTTAGTGAGATTACAACATATATACCCATCAATGCAGCGATGTGCAAAACTTCTGCGTTACACGGGACTCGAACCCGCACTTGTTCCCGAATAGATCGAGATGCGGGTTCGAGTCCCAGTAAGGGCAAAAGTTTTGCACATCACTCTACATCAATAGGTTATCTATAACATCATACCACGGCTGAAAAGCGGTCGAATAAAAAGAATTCCATTCAATCATCCAATACCAAATATCTGTTAGCTTGACTGGGTTGGATGTCGACACGGAATACCTGAGCCAAACCGTTGACGGTTGGTTGCTGACGGATAGATACGCTGTAACATAGAAAAAATAATGGTGAAACAGGCGTTAGTAGTGCAACGGGTCAGAACACGAGCTCTTGGATAGAGTGAGGTGCGGGTTCGTGTCCCTCCTGATGCAGAAGTTTTCCACATCACTCAAAATTAGTGAGTATATCTATAACGTCGTATCACCGCTAAATAGCGGTCAAATAAAAAGGATTTCATTTGATCATTCGACAGCTGATCTAGCTGCGCTCTAATGATGTAGTGATTACGGAGAGTTTGCTATAGACGCATGACTAATAGTCCGACTAAGCGTCCCTGTCTCACCAAGTCTTCCATACATCCGAGTTGACTAATTAGAAGCGGATTTCTTTGTGAGCTAGCAGCAACAACTTGATACGTCGCTCTGGACTTGCAAAACTTTGCATAGGTTGAGTGTGTTATTCAGTCGCGTCTGCGGTACTTAGTGGACTCGAATATACGTTGTATCACCAAGAGTTTTGTCAACTGAACACCTCTTCGGTTGTATACATCGACTTAGCGGAATTAAGAAATAATAAATAAACTCTCGTTGGTGGTAACTAGCAAGATCTATCTGGAGACAAATATCTCCGGTGAACGCTTGAACAATGATCCCAGAGTTTATCCCGATTTTCTTTTTCATGTTGAAGACATGACATGCACGTAGAATGTCGATTACATCTACAAGTGCCAACTTGGTGCTTTGTATTTGTTAAATCAGCGATTCATAGGCCAGTGGCCGTCTCTTACTGAGCAAAGCGGTATAGTGCTTGCCTTTTGATAATTTCTTTAGTTGTACTAATACAAAGCCAGTTTAGTAGACTGTGATGAAGCGACTTGTAGTGCAAACTTGCCATATATATATATACATACATATATATATATATATATATATATATTCTAGTTTTTGGTCATATCAATAGCGAGCAGTCTGCAGTGCCGAGTGATTAGTGATGTCGGTTATCGAACAGAGAGTTTCTGGTTTGATCACCTACCACGAAGCTTTACTGTGGATTTTCTGGTGGCAATTAGTATTGGAAGTTTCTTCATGCACATAGTTATCATAACAAAAAGAGCTTAGTTGTTAACGAATCACCTTTTTGATCACACTTTTTTTATTCGGAGCAGAATGTTGAATAAATGGTTTTAATGAATATTACTTGCGTTACGATGTTACGACATGAGATATGGTGATAGTATATATTGAATTGAAAGCAAAAAACGCAGCAAAAGCTCGCGTTCTGGGAATGAATAAAACGGCAACATTCTTCTCGATGGCCGGTACCACTGCTCGCTCTGCACACTGGGCCTCCCATCACGCATCCAGCGGGAAGGGACTTGTGCCGTGGCTTTGTCGCGTGTAAGATGTTAAATAAGTTTTCTTTCTAATTTTGAAAACTTTTATGTCTTTTGTATCACTTTAATGCCCATTTTTTCCTATATGAGTAATGAACTCTTGTTTACTAGGCAAGACTACTTCTTTTGTCGTTCAATTATTTACAAGAAGTCATGCAAAAAGCATAATAATAAAACTTTTTCAGTTATGACACTCTTCTAATATATAGAATACACAGGAATCAAGATGAAATGGGGAATAGAATATAATGAACATAGGATACGCAATAAATTCTGATGATTTCTTCAGATATTTCGGTAGTAGAAGAGTAGTGCATAAACAAACGAGTTCATTCAACTGAAGAATAATTACGTTTATTAGATCAAATAGTCACAACAATGAACAAAAAAGTCTATGAGAAATTCTCGAAATTGCATCATTGGCTCTATACGTTTACGAAGTCGTGTACGAAACTTTTCAATGTTACCCATACGCGTTTTCACCGTAATTCCGTCCCAAGCGCTTGTCAAAGCAGTTTCAATCGGGTCTACGCTAGTGCAGCGAGTAGTCGAGACTTAGTCCTCCAGTATGGACCACGCGGAGCTGTTCATTAAGTTGAGATCTGATGAGTTTGACGGCCAAACGTCCTTACGCCAAAAGCCTGGAAACATCTCTTAACAAAAATAAATCCGTATGATCGACTGTTTTTCAAACCTCGTAATAAACATTCTAAATAATTCCAAAAAAAAAAAGAATGTTTTCAGCCTAAGAGATACTAACCTCGCTTATGCTAAAAACATTCTTTTTTTTTGGAATTATTTTGAATGTTTATTACGAGGTTTTGGAAACAGTCGCTCATATGGATTTATTTTGGTCTACCAGCCGAAATCCATCGACTGAAAGTGGTGATGGACCAGTGTCATTGTACACTATGCCATCACCACATACGCCTCCCTCCTCGCTACAATGCAGGGCTTAATGTGGGGCGGGGGTCACTGACGAGGAGGCCGAAACCTCCGAAACACCGGTGTATGGCCCTGGCGTATCAACCTCGTTTAAGCTAAAAACATTCTTTTTTTTTTGGAATCATCTTTTGACAGATGGTAATCGTTGAGCGGGCCTAACAGCAGGTGCTCAATCCCTCTGAAGCGTAAATCCGTCAGCACCAAAGTGTCGGGTACTCCAAGGCTCCAGTGCGCCCGAAAAATGACTGCAGCAAATGGCTTCTGCTACTGTGTACTTTTGTTGACTCTTTTTGAGAATTTAACTTTGATTCTGGCGTCACATTTTAAATTGCGCCCCGCATGCGATACCATTTTTGAAAACTCTCACTATAATTCACTGTATCGTAATTTCCAACTGTATATAGATACTGTATGCGAAAAAACAGGTGATACGTATGGGTTGAGTAAGAATTCTGTGCGAAAAAGAATGACCGTATTTTGGAAACGCAGATGACCTTTCATTTGTTCATTGTTTCGGCATACTAAGTTCTATTCACAGTTTAGGTATTGATTTCCGTTCTTTACTGGCTACCGAAGATCATCACCTGCACAGAGTGTTGGGTTGGCGATTGTGTCATGACCATTAAAAATGCTAGCTTCACAACTGCTACAAAAGAGCTAACCAACGTATGCCCTGAGAGAATTAAAAAACTAGAAGATTAGCGATTAACCAGGTGTTGCGGCATAGTGTTTGGTTGCCAGGAATCAGCCGAGTTTTACGATCTGAATGTGACCATCGACTGGGATTTGATTATGAGAAGTGCGAAAACCTCCGGTAATCAGACGAATGCTGATTGGGGGATCACCGTCCTGAAACCCGAAAAAACACCATTGTGAAAAAGATGAAAACATTCATAGTTCTCAGCATGTTAATGAGTGTCATCAAATTGTGGCATCTGAAAGATTATTGGAGTTGCGAAGCGAAATTTGTAAGTTTCCATGAAAGATAGTGTATCGTGAATTGGTATCGATTTTGAACATCACAAAAGATTTGCACTTTAGTGGCAATGCAAAGTATTTTGAAAAGGACGTGTTATACGAGGCAAACTCGCCGCTAGAGTGTATGGACAGGAACTACATAGCCGTATATAGATTTGTGAAGCATGTATGCATTGACAAGTCAGTGATTCCATATAAGGAAGGAATCGTGTTCTGCCAGTGGAAGTACGAAGTGAAGATAATCAAAGTCTGTAATGAAGAAGAGTATACGTACCAGACGCTGAATTACCCAAGTACAGGCACAACACCCATAGACACCGGGTGTATCGCGGGTGGTGTAATGATGGCACAAATGGATGGTATTCCAAATGAAGGAAGTCATCTTGCGCTGTGAATCAGCACTAGCGTCTCCTTGGCTGAGAGTTTACTACAAGAAAAACATAGTCAGGATGTGTAAAAAGAATAAGGTCAGAGTGGCAAGAAAATTCATTTAGGAAAAACTGGTCAGCAGGAAATGGGCAGCCATGCAGAAAAAGAGTGAAGTACTCATATGGAAGATTCAGAGAAATTATGATGATTTTCACTGCGCATAGCTCTGCCATCAATCCGAAGACGAGATTGTGAGGTCGTTCATAAATACAGGAAGAGAAGTGGGTATGTAAATAGAATCGACCAATGACTGTGCTGCTCACACACCAGGAAGGCATACAAGTGATACGTGCACCGCGCTGCTTTTTTGCTTTACAATAATAGTGTACGTAATTTATGTACACACGTCTGTACATGCATATCGTCGCGCACCGCTTTTGCCAAACGCCCAGAGGGTTTATAAGGATTGTTTGAAACCAGTCACGCTTACCCAGTTTAAGGAAAAAGTGTATGTCAGCTAATCACCTTGAGACACTGCTCCATAATCGGCATCCAGGCACGTTCTCGAGAGGTTCCCAACTATACATACCACGGCATCGTGAACGCTGTCTTGATTGCTGCAGGAGGTTGAAAAGGTACGAATGTTCTATTCGTGTTTGAGACAAAGCTTGACTTGTATGTTCTATAAACAACCAATATAACATGCATTTTCTTCTTGGCTTTTATTTCTTTGTTTTCCTTTTGTAGTATATGTGATCGTAAGCGATCAATGTCTTTGACAAAGGAATTCTATGGTAGAAAAGTCGGGATATCGATGTTATATAAAGTTGCAAATATCCAGAAAGTAAATTGTTAGTTTTGCGACATACCAAGTAATGGTTGATTATGGACGTACTAGTCATGGACAGCAAAAAGTAAAAATTACATGTTAGAAATACTAACTATATTGGCCCTGTACTAATTGTTAGAATACTGCGTTTCAGAGAATGATGTTGATAGGTGCTGGATGTCAAAGTATCTGATTCTTAATTGAAGAAAATTTAAATGAAGTTTTTGCAACATTAGTATCTTGTAGACTATGTATGACGAATTTTTTTCGAAGAACAACTCAACTCAATAAGGAACGCGCGCTCTTTCAGCGCTTATTCTAACTACGTATTAAAAATACTTCCATATAAGTTTTTCCAAAAGCCTTATGTTGTAGAATTCGTGACTTCAAGTTGCATTTTTGAAAGCGAGACTTTAGAAATGTATAATCAAGGTTGAAAATAGATTATTTCGCAGAGATACGGTCAAAACGTTGGGAATTAATTATTTTTTGAACACATAAGCCTTCTTTTCGCTAAAAAACGCTTTTGTAAAGATTTTATTGCAAAATTCTACCTTTTTGCATTAATTAAATGCTTCTGACACATGAACTTTAGTTTTCAAATGCCAATAAACTCTTTGTGAAGTTCTATACGATGA